CATATCGCGATGCAATACAGTTGACATCACACACAACTGCCGCGCACACAACTATCGTGCAAACAAACGTCGCATATACAGTAGGGTGTCAGCTGCTCACTCAATCTTAAATCAACATAGCTCATTTTGTTCGTGCTGCTCAGTAAAGTATTTTGATATAAAAAATTTATTGAAAAAAATTATCTTCGCGATCAAAATTGAATAAAAAGATAATAATCATTTGAAAGGTTTCACATTCAACGGGCAAGATGGCTGCTTCAAAAACATTTCAATGCTTAACACATCTACTTGTGTGTGTTTGTTTTCAAATACGTTGCCAAATTCTATTGAGCGAAAAGGCAAAGGTAGCCTGATTGACTGTTCGCTGTGAAAACAAAAATAACGAGAGATGCACGCAGCGAAACTATGAATGAATCAGCTGTGTGTAATTCATTACTTAGAAATTCGCCAATTTCAAATTGATACGGAAATTTTATTTTTACGTGACAATTTAAAAACGTTACATTTTTATGTGCCGATCTAGAAAAACATACCGATTTGAAAACGGCGCGTTTTTCTGAAACGCTACACAAAAATACACCGATTCCAAATTGGCGAACAAAAACAAAATTTCTTTACCAATTTTAAATCGGCATGTTTTTGTATAGCGTTTCAGAAAAATGCGCCGTTTTTAAATCGGTACGTTTTTCTAGATTGTCACATGAAAATGTAACGTTTTTAAATTGTCACGTAAAAATAAAATTTCCGTGTCGATTTGAAATTGGCGCATTTTTCAAAGTAATATATCAATGAAAAATAGTGCAAAGGATTGCGCCCAATCTATATCTAACACACACAGCTGATTCATTCATAGATTCGTCGCGCGCATCTCAGCTTGATTTTGTTCTCACGACGAATGGTCAATCAGGCTACCTTTGCATTTTCAGAAACAAACACACACTCAGTCCATGTGTTGTGTGTTGCAAAGAGGTACAAATTGCGACGCACACAAAAACAATCGTTGCTATTCGCATTCTCCGTGTATACATGACAAATATGAATATATGTTTCCTTTATGGAATATATAACGGTCAAGAATGAATAAGTAATATGTAACTAGCATCGCACGCACGCTTCCCTGTTAACGGTGATGTGTGAAAGTATTAGAGGTATTGAAATGTTTTTGAAGTAGCCATCTTGCCCGTTGAATGTGAAACCTTTCAAATGATTATTATCTCTTTATTCAATTTTGATCGCGAAGATAATTTTTTTCAATAAAATTTTTATATCAAAATACTCTACTGAGCAGCACGAACAAAATGAGCTATGTTGATTTAGTATTTTGAAAATGGCGGAGACTCTAATATACAGCCATCGCAACCAACTCACACACAAAACCGACTGGCATACATACACGGGTGTCAGAGTTGTGTGTGATGTCAGAGTTGTGTCTGATAAATTATTTTTCAGGTCACAAGAGTGTCGCTGAACTTCTCATCCACAAAGGAGCCAATGTTGATAGTGAAACTAATAGGAAAGAGACACCTCTTCATTATGCTGCTGCCCATGGTAATTTTGAATACTTTTTTCGAGTACTATGCGCATTAGTATTGCTTAGCAGCAAGCATTGAATATGCTTCGGCCAATAGACAAGCATATCGCGTCGCAATACAGTTGACATCACACACAACTGCCGCGCACGCACGATAGACAAACAAACATCGCATATACAGCCATCGCAACCAACTCACACACAAAACCGACTAGCATACATACACGGGTGTCAGAGTTGTGTGTGATGTCTACTAAATGGGAAATTGGTTTAATTTTTTCATCGATCTGAATTATTTTTCAGGTCACAAAAATGTCGCCGAGGTTCTTCTCAACAAAGGCGCCAGTATGGATATCATGAATAATTTTAATAATACACCTCTTCATTTGGCAACTAGGAATGGTAATTTTGAATACTCTTTTAGAGTACTATGCGCATTAGTATTGCTTAGCAGCAAGCATTGAATATGCTTTGGCCAATAGACAAGCATTTCGCGATGCAATACAGTTGACATCACACACAATTTTTACAAATAATTTTTTCATCGATCTTAATTATTTTTCAGGTCACAAGAGCGTCACTGAAGTTCTCAGCCGTAAAGCAAACGATCTTAATATTAAAAATATTTTTAATCAGGCACCTCTTTATTTGGCATCTAAGCATGGTAAGGATGACTAAATCAGATATCCCTCGATCTCTTTCTTTGATCCGTATTATTTTAGGTCACGGAGGTGTCGCTGATGTGCTTCTCAAGAATGGAGCTAACACTAATATTGTAGATGATTCGAATACCACAGCTCTTCATTTAGCTGCTAGGAATGGTAATGTTGAATTCTTGTTCTTATTAAAGAAGCGATTGATTTGATCTCTTTCATTGATCCGTATTATTTTAGGTCACGGAGGTGTCGCTGATGTGCTTCTCAAGAATGGAGCTAACGCTGATATTATAGATGCTTTGAAGAATACACCTCTTCATTATGCTGCTAGGAATGGTAATGTTGAATAAGTATTTTCACAAAATAAAGAATCGGTTTGATCTTTTTCATCGATCTAAATTATTTCTAAGGTCACGAAAATGTTGCTGAACTTCTCATCAACAAAGGCGCCAGTATGGATGTCATGGGTAATTTTAATCATACACCTCTTCATTTGGCAGCTAGGAATGGTAATGTTGAATAAGTATTTTCACAAAATAAAGAATCGGTTTGATCTTTATCATCGATCTAAATTATTTCTAAGGTCATAAAAATGTTGCTGAACTTCTCATCAAAAAAGGAGCCAAAGTTGATGTTAGAAATCTTGCGAATCTAACACCTCGTCAGTTAGCTGTTAGCCATGGTACTGCT